CCCCCCTCTTCCCTTCCCCTTTCCTTGCCCTTCCCTCCTCTCTTTTCCTTCCCTCCCCTCTCCTTCCTCTCTACTCCTCTCTCCCTTCCTCTCCATCCATCCATCTATATGCCACCACTACCCATCACTGTGTCCTCTCTCTCCCTCTCATATTGTGTCCTCTCTCTCTCCCTGTACCTTTCTGTAGGTTGCCCTGGCCCTGGAGCGCTATGTTTCTGATGAGCAGTCACCAGCCACATCAACCTGACCAGTGTTTTTTTGTTGTGTCTTGTTGCTTTTCTTCTTCTCTCTCACCTCTATCCACTCAGCCCAACCGGTCGAGGCAGAAGGCCACCCACCAAGCGCCGGGGTCTGTCGGAGGTTTCTTCTGTTATAGGGAGTTTTTCCTCCCCGCTGTTGCCAAGTGCTGCTCAGGGGGATTTGTTTGGTTTTCCCTCTGTAATAATAGTGATAATAGTAAGGTCTAGACCTTACTCTGTAAAGTGTCCTGATATGACTTTTGCTGTGATTTAGCGCTATACAAATAAAACTGAAGTGAACTGAATCCCTGGTAGGAAATCCACCAGCTACCCAGTAGGATGTAAAGTACTTCCCAGTATAAGTATATAAGGTAGTTACCATCAACTCCACCTTTACCAGCTGCAGCATTAAAGTGATGAACACAGTAACTGCATCAGTCACTATGATCCAGTATGAGAGACATTACTGGGACACAGGCCGTTCATCACTGTGAACTGTGCCGTTCTGCAGGGCGACCACTTTCTCCCACATGTGTGAATGATCATACGCAGCTATTTTTATAGGTTTTTTTAAAATCCAGAGGAATATGTTGCTTTTGCATTTGAATGCCGATGTCAATGTGGCCGAAATCATCAGTGAAGTTCATGCCAGTTGATTTTTTTGAGTCTAGCATATATATTTATATATCGCATTGAATGGCTGACAGTTCACTGACTAAATTCTGAACTGGGTACAGCCTTAGTATTTTTACATACTAGTAGTAGAATACTTCTTCCACCACCGGTTCTTGGTGACAACACTACAGCTGGTGCAGATCCCTGACATTCAGGAAAGATACCAGTGGTATCAGTGTCGGTATAAAGTTACAGCTGTCCATAATGTGTGTTTATTGTTCCCTGCAGACATTCAGCACCTACTGGTGATTAAAGAAGAGGATCCCCTTGAGGAGAGCACCAGTCTGGACCAGGAAGACCCAGAGCCCCCACATATTAAAGAGGAAAGGGAGGGACTCTGGACCAGTCAGGAGGCAAAGCAGCTGCAAGGACTGGAGGAGGCTGATGATACCAAGTTTCCACCCGTTAGTGTCCATTTGAAGACTGAAGAGGATGAGGACACCAGTCTGGACCAGGAGGCCCGAGATCTCCACCACATGAAAGAGGAAAAGGAGGAACTTTGGACCAGTCAGGAGGCAGAACAGCTGCAAGGACTGAGGGAAGCTGATGACACCAAGTTCCCACCCATTAGTGTCTGTTTGAAGACTGAAGAGGATGAGGAGGGCACCAGTCTGGACCGAGAGGACTGCGATCTCCACCACATGAAAAAGGAAGAGGAGGAACTCTGGACCAGTCAGGAGGCAGAGCAGCTGCAAGGACTGGAGGAGGCTGATGACACCAAGTTCCTGTCCACTGGTGTCCATGTGAAAACCGAAGAGGATGAGGAGAGACCTCAGTCTTCACAGTCTCTTCAGTATCAGACTAAGGAGGAGCCTGGAGCCGAGAGCTCAGCTGGACAGACTTCTTTCAGCTGCTCTGAGTGTGGGAAAGGGTATAACTGCAAGGAACACATGAGCATCCACACAGGAGAGGAACGTTTTGGTTGTGATGATTGTGGGAAAAAATGTACCACCCGGGCAGGTCTTAAAAAGCACATAAGAGTCCACACAGGAGAAAAACCTTTTGGGTGTGATTGTGGGAAAAGATTTAGCCAACTGTGGCATCTTAAAAGACACATGAGAGTCCACACAGGAGAGAAACCTTTTAATTGTGGTGTGTGTGGGAAAAGATTTACCACACAGAGTGATCGTAGAAAGCACATGAGAATCCACACAGGAGAGAGACCTTATATTTGTGGTGAGTGCGGGAAAAGATTTGCCCAACAGGGGAATCTTAAAAGTCACATGAGAGTCCACACAGGAGAAAAACCTGTTATTTGTGGTGAGTGTGGGAAAAGATTTTCCAAAGGGCATCTTAAAAATCACATGAGAGTCCACACAGGAGAGAGAGCTTTTATTTGTGGTGAGTGTGGAAAAAGATTTGTCCAAAAGGAGAATCTTAAAAATCACATGAGAGTCCACACAGGAGAGACACCTTTTGGTTGTGATGCTTGTGGGAAAAGATTTACCACTCTGGCAGGTCTTAAAAATCACATGAGAGTCCACACAGGCGAGAAACGTTTTAGTTGTTGTGAGTGCAAGAAAAAATGTACCACCCAGGCAGCTTTTAAAAGTCACCTAAAAGTCCACACAGGAGAAAAACCTTTTTGCTGTGACGATTGTGGGAAAAGATTTGCCACACAGGGGAATCTTAAAAGTCACATAAAAGTTCACACAGGAGAAAAACCGTTTGGTTGTGATGCTTGTGGGAAGAGATTTATTATTCAAGGGAAACTTAGAATCCACATGAGAGTCCACACAGGAGAGAAACCTTTTGTATGTGATGCTTGTGGGAAAGGATTTATCTCAAAGTGGACTCTTAAATTGCACAAGAGAGTCCACACAGGTGAAAAACCTTTTGTTTGTGGTTATTGTGAGAAAAAATTTGCTGCAAAGGGTAAACTGAAGCTGCACATGAGAGTCCACACAGGTGAAAAGCCTTTTGTTTGTGGTTATTGTGTTAAAAGATTTATCACACAGTGGAGGCTTACGGTGCACATGAGAGTCCACACAGGAGAGAAACCTTATGGCTGTGGTGATTGTGGGAAAAGGTTTACCCAAAGGGGGAATCTTAAAGATCACATGAAAGTCCACACAGGAGAAAAACCATTTGGTTGTGATGACTGTGGGAAAAAATTTACCCAAAGGTGGAATCTTAAAAAGCACATGAGAACCCACACCGAAGAGAAACATTTTAGTTCTGGTCAACTAAAGCTGAAGCAATATCTAGAGCAGGTTATGTAGCCTTGTCACCTTCCCCATTATGATATTAATAAAGTCCTACCTACCTACCTTAAAGGATGTGTCAGGTGATCTGAAAATTATAAATGAAAGTAGCAAGTTACTGTGAGATCAGAAAATCAACCTGACAGAGGTGCAAATTATATCAAGTCTCTTAAGGAAAACAAGTCACTCTGATGGTTTAATAAATGAATTTTATAAGACCTTTAGTAATCACTTAGCCCCATTGTTGGTTGCTATATTTGATGAAACCATAAAAAAGATGATCTGCTTACACTCTGTCAAGTTCTTATTAAATTGATCCCTAAGCTGAGAAAGGCTACACTGAGTATTGAGAATTGGACACCAATCAGCCTATTAAATACTGATGCAAAAATATTTGCACTGACATTCACCAAGAGGTTAAAACTGTATTATATAAGATTATTGATGATGAACAGTCTGGTTTTATGTCCATCAGAAATATATGCAATAATATCAGACTTGTCATAGATGTGATTGATTATAAGAATGTTATAAAGGACAACAGGTTTGTTGTGTTTGATTTCTGTAAAGCATTTGATATGATTGGTCACCAGTTCATGTTCAAAGCTATAGAGGTTTTTGGATTTGGGGAGCAATTTTTAAAAACACTAAAGACTTTATATAATGGCTGCAATAGTTCTGTGAAACTAGGTAGTGGCACTACATCTAGATTTGTAATTGGTTGTGGAATAAGACCAGGTTGTCCCTCTAGTCCCTTTCTGGTTGTCCTTGTTACGCAAGCTGTGGCATCTCATATTAAAAGAAGTCAATTCCAAGGTAGAGAAGCCCTCAGCAGATAAATCAACTTATGCTAGGTGGCATAAAATACAACAGTTTTTATTTGAAACAGATTTGAGGTTAATAAAGTAATAGACTATACTTATGAATTTTCTGTGGCATCAGGTTTAAAAATGAATGTAAACAAGTCCGTACTACTACTCCTGAAGGAATGCAACTTAACAGATGTGAACGGTGTCCCAGTTAAAAACAGTTCCATATGTAGGTGTTATTATTGACAAGAATCAAAGAAATCACAGTTCCTCTAATTTTAATTTGTTTATTTATGAAATAAATAACTTTAATGTGTGGCTACTGAGAGACCTGTCTATGAATGGAAGGGTTTCATTGTCTAAAGCTGAAGGAATATCTAGAACAGTTTATGTAGCCCTGTCACTAGAGATGCCCCCTAAAATATTAATCAGATAAATCTTTATATAGAGGAACAAATGTCATTACTTAAAGAAAGACATTTTAAATAACACCAAAAAGAGTGGTGGTCTTGATGTTCTGAGCTTTGAAAGACTAATATACATTCAAAATAAACCGGTTAAGATAAAAGATGAAGATAACATGTGGAATACCTTCACTAAATATTTCTTTAATTTCAGGAGAGGAGTGTCTTCTTAAAAGTGCTTATAAGATCGATACGGTTCCTGTGAAACTCCAATTTTCACAAAGAAGCACTACTTTATTGGAAACTAGCTTCTAACCGGAATTTTTCCCCACATAAAACTTATATATGGAATAATCACAAGTTTCTGTTTAGGAATAAATCTTTGTTTGAGAGGAAATGGTTTGATAATGGTATTATACTGGTGGCACAACACTTTGACGCAACAGGTCATTTGTTAACATATAAT